GTAGACATGGCTGAAATTGTGTGAGAAAATGACCAGTACAATCAGGGAAACTTATTTGCAGCTGTAAGGACCTTTGTTATTTTCAAGACATTTAAGTAAAACCTCTAAAAATGTTTTCACAGAACCCTCTCTGCTTTGAATTTTCACAAAATAATAATAAAAAAATTACAAAACCAACGAACTCCCTTTTCTTTAATAGCACAAAGGACTTATGCGAAGGCCTCCAAATATAGAAAAGCCAGAGAAACAAAGATTACTGCCATACAAGACAGTTACAGCTGTTTGAAGATACCAAGAGGTAGAAATGCATCAAAATTAAGAAGGAACAGGAACAAGGCATACCTCAAAGTCCTAGCATGGATAAAGTGGCATTAAAAATCAGCAGGACACTCAACTTCAAAATATTCCATTTTAGGTGGCAGCCAGGTTTAGGGGACTAAGTTATATGGATACATTTTGGCAACAATATCTATTGTCACTCAGATTCAGAGATGGGTATCAATTTGCACATTGCACAAACAACCATTAGCATGCATCTAGCCTAATGATTCAAAAGAGCTTTTTCAGGAGTGAGAAGTAAAAGGTTCTCCTTAACTGAGAAAAGAAACTGTCCAGCGTGAGATTCTGCATGCTGAATTAAAAATCAAACCCTGAAACCTTTCTTGTAGTTCCACTCCTCCATCCACCAACCAGGGTTTTGGCTATCATGCTCTGAATCCCTGAGTTCTAAAACTGAGGAACTCTTACTCCTTGCCGAGTACCAGTCAAGCATATCCCAAACCCATCTTTGCATTACTGTCCTGCTTTCAACAGAGACAAGCAAAAGGGCCTTTCCAATACACTTATGTTCCAGATTCATAACATTTCAACAAATACACTGTAACAAGTCTTCTAAAGGGTCTCTCCTAGTCTACTCATCATCCAGGAAAGATTTAAACACCTTCATCTTTAAATCTATGTTTTGTATGCTTATGTCATGACCAGAGTCCATAATTTTCACAGTTCCAAGAACAATGCAGGGTGATCTGCATTTAGCAGTACATGGCTCGTAAGTTTACCACACCATCACTAATTTACTACAAATCTATAAAGCTGTCACTGTCCTAATTAAAAAATGTGATTGACACATAGGAAAATCTCAGGAAGGAGGAACTGAACAAATCCTTTGCATAGCTACATCACAAAAAGCAATAAGTGAACGTCTTAAGGTGGGCTGTTTATCTTGTCTGACTCATGGCCATCCACAACAGAAACACGAAAACACAGTTCTGACCAGTCTCCAGGGCAGCAGTTTAGCGGACTGAAATGCTGGAGATGCAGAAGAAAAGTGCTTGTGCAAAAGAACATCTCAGTAATTAATTTTGTCACTCAAGTGTATTGTAACTCCATTCTGTCCTTGAATATTTCTGCCTTTGTGTTGGCAGAAGCTACAACTATTTTACTGTTAGTAACTATTACAAGAGGGCTGGCACCTTTTAAATATTCCACTCTCACAGTAAACCCATGATTATTTTCTGCCACTTCAGAAACAGGTGAGCAGAAGGAACTTACAGCTCAGGCAGCATAATTTACCTTCAACCTTTGCTGTAAAAGTACACAAGTTGTTGAGGATCATGGAATATTTCTCCCACAGATCATTAGTTTGGCAGGCTCTGGAAGTCAGTAAAGATAATGGGGAGAAAGGCCCTACTGAAACTGATCATTTTGCCATCATTACCCCAGTTCCTGTGAGGGTTGAGAGTTGAATTCAGATAAAAATAAAAATTTTAAGAAATTTCATTGGACCTCACACAAATCACCAAAGCTCTTAAGAACATGAAGAGGTCAAACTATATGAGAGGAAACACTTTTATTCAACCTGAGACTGCTGCTCATTTTGATATGCCTGAAAACACCTCCGAGAGTTACCCGTGGCATTCTGGAACTTTCTCACTGACCTTCAACTCCCAAAATACACTAAAACATACAAGGAAAAAAACCCATAGCTGCTAAGCCACATTTTCCAAGCTTCTAAAATAAACTCATTTTAAAAATCATATTGCATCTAAGTGTTTTGTCCAACTCCACTTATTAGTAACTACTAGAAGTGCTGGCTGAAAAGCAAATTCTTGCAAAGACTGAATTTATTTCCTCAGTAAATATTTATTTTGCTTGTATCCATAGAAGTACTACATGGAAAGAGTGTGCACACACACAATAACTCTTGGCTTCATTTTCCTGCCAGCTATCAGACAGCATTGCTCATGCACAAACTTTTAGTATTTAATATTCATAATGCAGAAGCATCTACTGATCCCAGTTAGGATCAAGAAATTTTATGAGATGTTGTACAAAACAAAGATTATCACTGTTGTGCCACAAATAATTTATAGTTGGACAGATTGACAGACTAACTATTTCTGCACTAGTTGTTATGCAAAATGTATTTCTTAATCTTATTCTAGTCACTCCTTAATGCAAATATGACACTATAGGTAGCTCCATGCAGCAATGTAGGGCACTCTTGCAGCAAATGCAGAACAGTGCTCTACTTCAACAGCTACTGAGGCAAAACAGTTACTTTGTTTTAACAGCAGGGGTTTTTTGTATTTTGGTGGGGTGGGGTGATATTTTCATTGATCTATTATATCTCAGTGGAAAGTTACATGGTAGTATTAGTCAACCTGAATACACTGTGAAAGATAATTCTTCTTCAGTGCAAAAGAAAAGTTGGCTAACATTAGAAACAATATTAATTTTGATTGTCTTCCTAAAGGAAACAATTTGACATTTGGTTTCAAAATGCAGCAATATTTTTGAGATGTGACCCCTCTCCAATACAGCAAAGGAGGTGACATCATAGTCATTTGCTTGTGCTTGGATGGTTCACATAACACTTTTAACAATGACAAAAAGGCTTTTCTAGTTCAAAAAGTATGGGAGGAAAAAAATTAAAAAATCTTTACGTAGCACTCTTGGCCACGATCAACCCCTTGAATCCTTCTTGAGAGGCATGTGAAGAAAGAACAGGTTACCTTTGAGGCAAGTTTAGTATTTAAGCATTCTTTAGGAAATCTGCATTGCTGAGAGAGAACAGCTTTTCCTAGGCTGAGCAGAGAGCGAGATGGGATCAGAGCTCAGGAGTAATGTTTCCCAGTCACATGCGGCCACCAGCTCTCTTCTGTAGCCCACTAAAGGCCTCTGGCAACCTGAATTCCCCAAGTGAGGCAGCAGAGGATGCTCCTTCAAATATCTCCTTGATGCCAAGGATGTTTCTATGGTAATTCTGCATTCAAAGTTACTGGTTCGTGTTGCATGAGAGGCTACACAAGGGCCCAAGGAAATGAATGAACCTATCTAAGGTTGTGCATACCCGGGGGGCTTCCATAATTTTTGGGTGCACAGAAATACAAAGACGGAATAATGACAATGTTGTGCTGCACTTCATTTGTTGAATTACTTCAATACCTTGCTCACAGATGTGTGCATGTGAATCTAATCAACCAAACTCCTCGTAGACAGCAGAGATTATTTTGAGAGATTATTCCTGCTTCTGCTACAGGAAAAGAAGCATCAGCCTTTCATAACTTCTTGAATACAGGGAGGTGTGTGTACATGCATACACTAACACACACATACCCCTCCCTCACCAAAAAAAAAAGTGAGAATAAAATTTTTCCTCTATATAGCACATTATTTTCATAAAGGATGATTAAAAGCAGACCTGCCTTTTTATGCAGAAGAAAAAAACACACCAAAACCTGTTTGATTGTTCATCTAGATAATCAATTATATAAAATAATCAATTATATAAAAAACAAATTAAAAACTACAGGGGGAAAAAAAAGCTGGCATGATCTGAAAAAAATGTGATATTTCTGTATCTCTTGAAATCATAGAATAGGAAATTTTTCTGTAGCTTTTCTTCTTGAATCATATTTTGTTTCCAATCCTAAAACAGCACATTTGACTATTCAATTTGCTGTTCAATAATAGTGACTCACATTGCCTTTTAAATGCATACAAGAAAGTTGCATCTTTTTGTTTTCATTTTCCCTGTGTGTTTGTTGCATACTGACACCAAATTCCCTGCAGGCATCCTAACCTTGCAATTTGAGAAACAGCGCTCCAGGGTTTTCCACATGTCTAATACACCTGGATAAAAAGTGCTAATTGTCACCAACTTCCATTAAATGACAGCAGTAAGGCACAAAATATGCTTGATTTGCAGATGCTAGTGCCACTGGGACTTAGCAGCAGATTAATAATTGTGCAGACCTTGAACATTCCCCTGGCACTGCCAGCCTGGGTTTCCAGTGCAACGTCAGACTACAAGGCCCTTGTTTTTACATTACTTTCCTGAGGAAATCAGGCTTAGGCATTTGCACTCTTTCCCTGTGTGTGTTTGGCTGTCCTACCTTCCCACAATAATTTCTGATCAATCGGAATAAATTTTAAAGGAAAGTAGAGGTTGCAAACATACAGTGTCCTTAGCAGTTTTGTGAAAAACAGGCAGCTAGGTAGATATAATCAAGCCTGAGCCTTGTGTTTCAAATATCCTGGATTTTTAAATTCAGGTATTCTTGCAGACAAATAAACCCTAATTCTGTTCAATTTTTTTTTGGTTCTGAAAGTAGAAGGGAGATGTGCCATATCACATATTCAGCAGGCAGCAACCTTGCATCCAGCCAAGACCTTTATGGGTCAGGTGACAGACTAGGTTCCCATTTTGTGGTGATTTTTTTTCTTTTTACAAACCTATCTGCCAAAAAAATCCCTTTTCACCTTGAGGCTTTGAATGGGCATCAGGAGCCAGCTTCTTGCACAGGTTCACCCTTGTCCTTTTTTCCTGCATTTAAATTCAGGGGCCAACACTGTATCTTATCTCCTCTCTTCTGGACCTGCTGCTGCTGCTGTTTCCTCTCCACTCGGCGCACACGAGGACACCACCCCTATGGCATGCAAGCTTCCTGGCGGCTCGGGTGGCATTGCAAAGCTCATTTCTGCAGGCAGCAACATGATTACGGCGAAGGTGAGGGCGAGGTTGGGCAAATGTGTTTCAACACTTCTTTCTTTGTATTTATCACCGTGCCATAGCATTCCTGCAGCCTGGCCTGCTGCTGCTCCAGCTGCCTATGCAAACTCCTGATGGAGCGCAACAGCAGGAGCCGTCGGTACATTGCTAGCTGGAGCCGGTACTTCTCCTTTTCCTCCTTTTTCTTATTTTCCAAGGTTTCTGTTACTGTTGTGGTCTTCATCCAAATCACATGGCTCAAACTGCAAGAGGCCATGTTGCTCTCAGCGCCAGTCCCTGCCTGCAGGGCCTCGCTGGCCTCACCAGGCACCCTTGGGGTCTGCAGCGCCTCTGAGCTCAGTTTGCCATCACAGCAGGGACTTTTGGCACACAGGGAGGCAAGGCCCATGGGCAGCAGGTTACCAACTGCTGCAGGGCATGAGGAGGCACCTAAGGATGTAGCTACAGCTGCCAGAGGATGCTCAGCCAGCCCAGCAGCTGTCCTCTGTGCCCAGCCACCACAACCCATCTCTGGGCCAGCTGGGGCTTTTAGCTGGGCCACTGCCCTGCTGGAGAGGACAGAGAGTCTTTGTGGCACTGCTGAGCTTCCTTTGTCTTCATCAAGGCTGTCTAACAAAGAGCTGGCAGAGCAACCAGGGGATGCTGTTACAGCAACTTGAGTCGGAAACCTGTCTTCATCATCACTGCTGTTTTGGATCTCCTCTTCTTCTCTTGATATTATAGCTGCTCTCTCAGCCATTTAATGAATTAGCTACAGAAACTTTCTGTGGACAAAGTGGAAGTAAAAGGGTTTCATTTTCACATACACACACGGAGAAGCCCAGTGCAGAGTGACATTTGAAGAAAGAACCTCTTTTTATATTTAAGCAATGGACCTATTACTTTTCTAATAAAGCACAACCCTTGGGTCACTTCAGGCCATTTCTTGTGATTTGCATTAGATGTTCTTCGAGACACAACATTAATCCAATAATAATTAAAATGATATACTGTACTATTAACATTCTCAAATCTTTAAAGGCAAGTGATCTATCCCTGCAGCACTGGCTGTGCTGACTAATTAAAGAGAATACAGCTGTAAATGGGCACTGTAAGCACTTCTCCCATTTAAGAACACAGCTCTAACAAGTGTAGTTTGTAGAGATGGGCGAATTATTGGGATTGATCAGCTTTAAAGGGAGGTGGACGTACCACAAACAGCAGGTTGCATTTAAATGCCCTCTCCAAGATTAATCTGTCTGCTACCAGTTTGTTTACAAGGTTGCCTTTCCCCCTCCTATTAATTCTAACAGTAAAGCTATATTAGCACTACACTAGCCAAAGAGAGGAAAAAGAAACCAAACACTTACCGAGGTTACTGGGGGGAAGGAAAAGAGTTACAGTGCATTGTGTCTGTGTATCATATTTTCTTGAATGTGAGTCAGCACAATCTGGAACAGAAACATCACAGTGCTGGAGCAGGAGCAGCAGCAGCATTACGCTGTTCCACCCAGCAACAACACAGTCAGTCCCAATCACAGAGGAGTGCAGGGCTGCTTTCTTCCTCCTCAGTGGGCATTCCTCCCTGGCGTGCAGCTTTCATGTCATCTTTGAGCATCAAAATGAGTACCAGGATTGGATGGCACTTTTTTCCCACCTCAAAACCAAACATACCTGATTCACCCATTCTACAGTGGACAATACCTATGGCCCTTCCCATCCCTGACTGTCAGCAAGAAGGTAGCACAGCATCAAAAGAGGATGAGGTATTCTGGACTCCTAGTGTGTGTGTGGTTTTTTTCTGAAAAAAAAAAAAAAAAAACCAAAAAAACCAAACCCCAACAAAACAAAACAAAAAACCAAAAAACCAAGCTTAGATAAACTTCAGCTGCATGAACAAGCTAAACTTAAATATGCAGTAAGCATACAGCAACAACAAAATGCTAAACACAAAGACAGGCAGAAGATGTAGATCAAAGTGGTTGATGTACACCCATGTTTAATGAGGCTGGCCTAATCTTTAAAGAACAGCACTACTTCCAACTAAACCATCCCACAAAACAATAAACTTTATCTGCACTTCTGATGTTTAGAAAACCTACCTTCAGCATCATCTCTTGTTGTAGTGCCAGGAACAAAATTCACAAATTATCTACCTGCATCTACTTCAATCAATTTATCATGGGGCTTCAGTTGCCCTAAGACTTTCTCTACTCCATTCTCTAATATAAATAGAAGAAAGAAGCAATCCAAAATACTATCTAAAATCTTCCAGCAGCTGGAAAAGAATGAAAGTAGATCCTATCTTCACTTCTACGTGTCCTGTAACACAGATAATAATTTCTTATTTTTCATCTGTACTGACTAGCCTTCTTTCTGATGAGTCTGCTAGGATATGCTTACAAACTTGAGCACACAAAGCCTGGTTAATATTAATTCAGATTTGTACATTGAGATATAACTTGAATGCATTTTTTGCTGCAAGATATAATTTGCACTGGATTTCTAAAATAAACTAAACCTGCTGTGTTTATGTGCCAAATCATGCTGCCGATTATATAAATAATGTAAGAAAGAGATTAATATCCAGTGAGTTAAATATACAGTGCAAGTTTATATCTTGGTGATTCTCATTTATCTGAATCACAAGCTACGGTAATTGAAGAATATGGAATTCAGATAACGGGGATTTTACTGTATTAACATATTGAAAAGTTTCATTGTAATACAGCATTATGTAGAGAGTCCTTTGGTTTCAGCTTCTCTCATCTCCAAAGCACTGCAGGAATATCTTCCACTACAATGAGGACAGGGGGTGGGTGCTAAGGGGTGTACCTGATCTCCAGTGATGTCAATACTTTTCTATAAGCTATAGCGTTCTGTTCCTCACTTCTACCTATGTAGCCATTTGCTGCAAATAAGTATTTTCTAACAGTTTAACAAGGCATGAAAACCCAGAGTTTTGGTTTCCAGGGTCTTTTTTGTCATTTTAGTTGTTTGTTTGTGGGTCCTGGGTAGTTTTTTTGTTTGTTATTTCTCTGCTGCTTTATTTTTTTCAGCAAAATTTTAGTCAGTACTCTTTAAAGAGATGGACAGAGGGCCAAAAAAGTCATTTTGCACACCAAATTAGTGTAATAAAAATAATAATAAATGTTTTTTACTTGTAGATCTGAATGGAGCAAACAGGTTTTTCATAGAATATTATGACTTCAGCGGTAACCTATGAAGCTTAAAAGCAAAAAATATTCAGTCTATTAGACTTCAAGAATGAGTCAGATAGAAATAGACATATTTGTTATTGCTAAAATACAAAATCTGGTTATGGTAAGGGCTGCATGTGTGTTCTATTGTTACCCTTCCCTCCATTGTTCACGATTTCATAAACTCTCATCTAAAGGACCAGATAGGAAGGCTCTAGCCTCAGTTTCTGCCTAAAGGTCAATATATACTAAGCACTTCGGCTGAAAAATAGAGATGCTTCAGTACAAAATGAGGAACAAATCCAGTCTTAGAACTGGGAAGACTTAAGGAAACCTTTCAGGAGAAAGGTCTCTTGTGTAACTGACAGACTGGAGAACAGGGAATGAGACCACTCCTCATTTCAATGGAAACATGTAAATGCTTGTTCTGAGATGACACAACGATCATATTCACCTAAGACTGTTACCTTGATGAAGTGGCTCCTACACTTATCTCCCTTTTATTTGCAATTTGACAGAGCAATAGAGACCTGAAAAGGCCTTATGTTAATTTCTTCTTCAAAAATCACATTGTGTTATTTCCCTGATAAAGAAATAAGAGAGTTTGTTGTTCTTCTTAAGAACATGTCTCAGGCTGACTCTGCTTAATACTACTTGCTCACCCTTGTACTTGTTTTTCTGTTTGTGGGAACCTTTCTAGGCAGAAGCTGCTTCAGATTTTGGTGAACATGTAAGTCAGACCAACGCACGGAGAATTTCAGGCAAGTAAATTGAAAGCCAAGATGCCTCTGGTTGAGGTTCATTGCCTTTCATTACCACCCACTCACAGGTTGATGCAACTGCAGCAGTTTCAAGGTGTCAATAGACCCTGGGGAGCCACCTCCAAGCTGTCAGTCTTGCACACCTCTGAGATGTCTATGTCAGCAGAGGTTGGTAATCCATCACACTCTTTCTGGTAATAGCTACAAGAGGTGCTGGGAAACCTGCAGGCTCATAAATGTAAGCACGTGCTGAAAGTCTCTGAGCTTGCAGGCTTTTGGAATGAGTGCTGAGCCATCACAGTTGGGTTTTGTGTGGTAGCAGAAAAGGCCTGGTCACAGGGGGAGTCCCAGCCGATAGCCAGGACAAGTGTGTGTATTTCTCTTCCAAATATGATGCCATTCTCAAACATGGACAGATGTGAGGACACAAAGGTGCTTGGGCTTTTTATTTCATTAAGTACAAATCCTTTACTGAATTTCAAAGCACAAAACCACATTTACAAACAGCATTAAAGGTGAGATAAGCATTGGTGAAGAAGATAGGCCATTAAAAGACCGAGGCCTGGGATGTTATGTGTTTTGTATTTCAGTTTGGGGAATATTTTTAACAAATTACAAAAAATATCCTCTTACACAGTAGTGTAATTACATATTTTATATTAATTGCTCTTAATGATCAAAAGCCATATTTTGTCTGTTAATGTACACACTCGCATGGCCTTCACAGTGAGATCCACATGTGTGCATCTGAGGCCTAAATTTTTTCCCCAAAGATTCTTTAAAATCCTTTTACAGAGCAGTAAGTTGCAGAAGAACCTCCAATATTTCCTTTCTTCTCCCTTCATACCCAAAACAGGCAGGAGTTATTACAGGCTGCTCTGCATGGCATGGGGTGGTAACAGTATCCCAAGGGACCAGTGGCCAGCCAGGGATTGCCATTCTGCTTTCACACTTGCCCACACCCAGGAGTTTCTCCACTCCTACAAACAGAGAAATAAGAAATTGAGTCCACTGATGACATCAAGAAGTGCTCCAGATATTTCAGGGGCAGGGAAAAGCACTGCAGGACATTTCTACAGCTTTCAGACAAAAGGAAATGAGGAATATGTACAGAGCTGCAGCCCAATTGTGTGTTCTGGAAACATTTAAGAAAAGTAGTTACCAGTTTACCAGTTAGGAAGGGTTCAATGGCTTTAAACACAAAAATACAGGCATTTGAGCAGACTGTCTTTATATAAAGGGTAAAAGACATTGAAACAGTCTGCCACAACTGGTAAAAATTAGCAGGCTTGCTGGCAGTCTCAACAGAGCTGCATGTCAGAGGTACAAATCTCTAAAGGAGTATGCTCACAATGCATTTAGTCTGAGTTTGAGTTGCATTTGCAAGCTTCAAAGTCTTAAGACTGCAGGTGCCAAAGTGACCCAAACACTAGGAGGGACTTGATGACAACTCTCACTGCAATATTTCAGCAAGTCTACTGTTAACTATGCTTGGGCTTAGCTATTCCCAGGTACACAAAATGAAAAATACATTTATATGGCTTTATAAATATATTTTAGAAGTGAATTGTTTTGATTTTTCCTCAAGGCAGCAGCTGTTCTCCCTATCGTCTATGTGGAAAGCATTAGTTTATGATTTCAATCACCACTCACCAAGTGAAAGAATAACAGCATCATTGCCCAAACCAGTATAAGCCCACATTCCTGCCACCAGATCCACAGAGTCGTGCTTTTATGCTGAAGCAGCCACAAAGGATTTTCCAAAGTCTTGTTATGAACTCAGGGATCTACTTCAGCCTGCACAACGAGCAGCTGAAGGATGTCATAGAGGCCAAGATGGAAATGGACAACCCATAGGAACAAAACTCTGGGATTTTGCTTGATTTTTCTCCCATGTCAGCAGACCAACCTCTACTAGGCAGACCCAACTGGCATCAAATGAGCCAAACAGACTGCAGAAGAAGCACTTTAAATATAATTCTTAAAAATTCCACTTTATTTCAACATGAAGGAAACCTCACATTTCTAGAGTGGATTAAGAACAATTTGCAACAAGGACGTCTGCAGTGTATACTGTACAAATCAGTGGGGGGAAAAATACAAATCTTTATAGTGACTTAAAAAATCTTGAGACCTGCCAGTTTACCCCACTCACTTTTTCTGTTTCTAATGGAGAGTATATGCTTGTCTGTAATTCATTTTCATACCAAAAAGGAAAATCAAATTTTACACTGAAAAAAATTATGAATTGCAAAAAATAATTTCCCCTAACTGTTAAGTGAAAAGGAAATTCTAAAGTATCAAAGGTTTCATTACTTTTTTCCTATAATAAAGAAAATACTTTGTTTCATGGTAGCAAAATTAAAAGCAATTACAGTGTGATGGTCCTGCTTCTGTTTTTTTTAACTTTAATTTTGTAGAATACCCATAATTTTGTTCAGGAAAAAATAAAGTGAGGGAGA